TACCCAAAAGCTCATATATATAACTATGCAGGATGATGAGGCCTCCATGAACATCTACTAATATAAAAATATACAGGATTCATCTACAAGCCTCTAGAGTTAATGAACTATATCATGGTCGGGTCAAGGCCTCGACCTACCCATCAAACCTGTATATATAAAATGGACTCGAAGGTCTAAACTTGGTAACTTCGAGGAAGTGGAGCTTACCAACCAAGCTGATGTTTCAATCTGTCTACTGGGAAGGTCTATCCAACTGTGTATCAGGACCTTCAGGTATGAAATGCACCGTCCCCAACAAAAGGGACGTCAGTACAAAAAAATGTACCGAGTATGTAAGGCAACAAAACAACTGAAATCTAAAACTAAAATGATAATATAATAACTGAAAGAAACTGGGAGTCAAAGATAATTTGATGATATGCTTACTTGATGATACTGACTCAACTCTCTGAATATAGTAAGTAAAATAGATCTCCAGCCCTACAAGGCTCGGTATGTGTAACTGCTCTGCCGTAGTAGGCTCACTCATAGGTGCTCGACTATACTAGGCTCTGTATCTCGGCCATTCTGGGCTCACTCATAGGCGTTAAGCTATAATAGGCTCGGTATATAATTTTCCATCTGATCAGAGGTTGCCCAATAGGGGCCTGCCCACCAATTGTAGCTCGATGGTGGTGAAAATACTATTGTACTGCCCAATAGGGTCCTGCCCGCCGATTATAGCTCGATGGTGGTGAAAATATTGTAATACTATATACATATATAGACCCTTTGCTCTCTTGACTGGAAGAAGACAATACTTAATTAAATAAAAGTCCCGATAAGAGAGAATCCTGTAACTTATGAGACTAGGATAATGTACATAAATTTAGGAGTATGAACTTCTCTTTATGTCTCGTTATCAAACTCATGTAGTTGAAGAGAGCATGCCAAAATGAAGGTAAGGTTTAGCCTTAACATACGTTATCAAAATCTATCCAATAACCACGTTGAACGCTCGTCGCACCTTAATCTACAACAACGATAATAATACTTTCGTACGACTAAAATAACTCATAACATAACCTCCTCATTATGTTAAGTACCCTAGTCTCACCCCAAAAGTACATGTCATAAAATTCTCAACTTGTCGACTTTTGACGAAACTTATTTCTTCAATTCATTTAGCTTCTAAGCCTTCCAACCCTCTTGGTACTTGTTGTTCAGGATCTTAAATATTTGTAACTTCCAAGGTAATATGATCAGCTTACTTTATGTATTTCAAAGATGATCTAATTTCTAAGCTTACATCAATTGAGTTACGATGTACTCTTACGTAGGAAAGCATGGGGTGTAACATCAACCGTTCACAATTATTTTTCCTACAAGCCACTAGGGGGTGGTTAGATAATCTTTGGCTCGATGGCTAAGTTCGTAATGGAAAACGAAGCTTGCTATCTAACCAAAGATTATCCAAGCATTCACTAGTGTTTTTCCTCAAAGAAGTAAGACTTCCAGTGTTCGAATTCGGATTTTTCACACTCGAACACTGGGGGAAATAGTATTTGAATACGGCAACCTGATTGCTGTGAAAATCGGACTACAAAACCCTGGGAACAAATATGTCTCATCGGGATCTACGACTGCACAACTAGCCCCGTGGAAACAAGTTGTACATAATAGACACATTTATTGGCAATTTCTTTTCTTTCAATACTCGACTTATGTACTTTTGAAGATAGAAGGAATAAAATTAAGTCCTTTTATTTTTATCTTGTTTCTTGTCCAAACGATGAATTGATTTTATCATATGAAAGTTAACTATGTACGTCAAATGCTAGTGCCTGAATGAACAGGAGAAGTCCTCTTCAAGAACACCGAAAACATAAGAGGACCCTCTCTTATGAAACCCTCACAGTAAAGGGTTGGTCCCGGAAGAGTTTATGCTCAGAACCCAAATTCTATCGGGGAAAAAAAACACCTGAAGCCTTGACTAATGAGAGAAGAAATGAGGGAAAATTGACACTTAGGGAAAGACTATACTTACGAGATGCGTTCCGTTTCTCGTGGAATGGAAGGAACGTGGGAGGGACCAAGTCTTCAGTTTTCACCCGAACAAAACGCCACTACTAGCCTCGTCTCGATCCTTGTCGATGCTCGAAAAGGGAGCCTTGTTGGCCCGGCGAGCGAGCTTGATTAGTCCCCCTCGAAAAATTCAGAGAATGTACTGACGGAGTAGGTGGTCGAGGGTGAACCAAGAAGATTCAGTGTTTTTCATAAAATGGCATAAGAGGATCACGATCCTCCAGAAAGACGGGTGGATTTGCCCGAACCACACTTCGTACCTCTTTCAAAAAGCTAGGATCACCGAGTCAACCAGGCCAAACGTAAAGGGGTAAGTGTAAACACTTAAATACCCCATCCACGTGCGTGGTAATGTCGTCCTCAGGCCCGGGGACAACCACGTCTTTGCCTTCCCATCTACAGTCCTCTCGGACTATGGGAAGGGTATCTTCAGTAATGGAGCATATATATCTCCATGCTCCTTCACCCTGGTCCTGTTTGGAGGAGGCCTTCTAAACTTTGAAGTCATCCCCGATTGAACAACCCCCGGGTATAAAGTCATGGGAGGCTCTAGGGCCGCCTCGGGAGCAACCACCTCGGCATCAGTGGCCAGGTAGGAAGACGAAAGGGCATCATGCTGATGAACTAATTTGGAAATTTTAGCCATTGCAATCTGAGAAAATATGAAGATTTAAAGGAACAAGTATGACGGTTGAAGAAAAGAGTATGAAGATATGAAGGTGGTATGAAGATTTAGGTAGAAAGCTAAGAACAATTATAAAGATTTGAAGGCCAAAGATGAAGATATGAAGATTTGAAAGAGTTGAAAGCTACTAGAGCATTCAAAGGTGAAAGCTAGGATCAGAAAGTAGAAGAAGTACAAAAGATCCAAGCTTTTATAGGAGGAAATGTAATCAATACGCGACGATTCATATCTGGAGATGACCAACCGATGATCGACACGTGTCCGAAGTCAGAATGACGCGACTGATGGGGCGTTTCGGATTATTCATCTTCTCGGTTGTAACGTACGAAGGAACCAGGGTTCATCTATCGTGTTCCATCGTTTCACCGAACCTACTCTCTAAGAAACGAGGGGACTATCTATATACAGGTGACCTCGCGGTTAGCACACACACTGACTTCCCAGTAGGTCAAACTAAGAAATAATATGAATGTATGAGGTCGAGACCGAAGTTGGGAACTCTTTGGATCGAGGCTGGAACGAGGTACTCGCCACCGGGCCCGACGAGATAACGCTCCAGAACGAGCTCCAAGACCTCGAAAAGCACTAGAAATGGTTGCACATGACTAATAGAGGATCGTGATAACCGCACCCAACCGGATATCACGGCACGGATCTCGCCCGATGTCGGTGGTATATCGGTAATTGACGAGAAATGAGGATTTTTGCCTTTTTTAGAATTGTACTAGGGATGAAACTCTCCTACTATATAAAAGGGATGTTTTTTATTCAATGGACACATTGTAACACCCATATCAAGGCAATACAAACTTATTTCTCTGCTTTCTAGCTAATGCAAAGTCTTGACTTTATTTTTGTTCTTTGTTCTTGTCTAGCTTCGAGCCCAAGACCCAATCGAGGGAAGAAATTATTGCTCAGTCCAAGTTCAAGCTAGGCCATAATAACTCATTTATCTAACATTCTTGATTATTTGTATTGAATCAATCCACATATCTTTAAAACCGCATATAAATTTAATTGTTATCCATTTTAAGGGTAAGCAGCTATCATTATCAAACTAAAAGTTTTCAGTTTTTCCATAATTAAAATATCTCATTTAAAGGGAAAGTACTTCTCAAAAAAGAATTGTTGACAAAAAGTAAAAGTTGGCATAACAGTTTTTGCAGATTCCTTGCATTTTATCGTTTCGAAGTTCTTGTATTACCCATGTCTGTTTTGCTGCGCTATAAAATTTAGCAATAGTGCCTTCGCAGAAAAATTAAGAAAACGTAAAAAGAGAACAACCAAAAATACATTTGTCTTGGTTACCTGACTTTTCATTTTGGTGGTGACGGGTGAGGGTTTGATTCCCACCTTGTAATCCCCTTTCCTTATCCTATCTCTATATAATATAGAGGTCTTGCTAGTATATTAATAATGCACCCATTTTGGATTCTCTAAAGTGCCCTTATTATTTTTTATCCTTTAACCAAAATTTCACTATGAAACTAAAAACCTACACCCAGTCCTTCTCTACCCTCAGCTCCTTCCTTGTTTTCCGTCGTCAATGGAAAAACCAAGCATAAGGAAGGAACTGGTAAAGCATTGACTCGTATGCAAATCACAATAACTACTAATTGGGCAGAGGATTTGGTTTTTCATTAAAATCTTTTTAGGCCCTTTAAAGCTCTATTCCTCCGCTTCTTCGAATTCTCAAAAATGTTATTCAAAAACCCCCAATTTCAGTTTCTAAATCTGATTCGAATACCTCAAAACATAGTATCAATTCACCCAACAATAATTCCACTAACAACAAACTTAGTGAAATTCTACAAGTGGGATCTCAGAGTAGTGCATACGTAAAGCTTACCCCTACCTCTAAATCAGCGTCACATCTTCTAAGTTTATATTTGCTTAAAATGAATGTAGAGGAAACAAACAGAAAGAAAGAATGAAAATAAATTCCGTCACCCAAAATGGTTTTAAGAGAAGTTGTTTATGTTTAATCTATTTCCCAATTTTATGTCTGTTGCTGTTGGCGGAGTCACCATTGATGAGGGAGAGAAAGAAAAGAAAGATGAAAAAGGAGAATTGACTTTCAATTTTGGTCGTATGCTGATAAGGGCCTTCTAGAGAATCCAAAAATGAGTACATTGCATAATAATTTGATGATTGCACACCTCAATTTTCGCCACCCTGTAGGAAATAAAGTAATATACTTTCTCGAGATTTTGTTATTTATCCAATTTTATGATGAGCTTCATAGGGGTTTCCGAAATGCGTTTCTGCAAATTTTCACTTCATATGGAACCTGTTCATAGGACTTTTAACCATAGACGACATATATACACATATACACATGTTTGAGATACTATAAACCTGAGTACAAGCTACTACGAAACACGAAAAGGGCAATTCCCTACCAAAGATGCACACAGAACGCATCTACAGAAAAGCATTCCCCTAACCTGAAGCAGGTAACTCTAGCTACAACGAAACCAAATTTCTACACATGTTAATCACCGTTACTTGCCTTGTGCTTGAAAAGAAGAGTTTCATGTAATGTTAGCATTTCCATCAGGAAGTTAATCATCTTTTACTTCTGTTGAAGAGCAAGAAACCATGCGTTTCATTTGTAATAAATGTGTTCTCAGGCTAAAATCTTTCACCTGTTTTACAAACTTCTGTCAGTTCTGAACACATATTTGACAAGAAGAATGAGATTAAAAGGTAAATTCAGCCGAAAGTTAACATAAAAATGATCGTTTTGCAAATAAGGTAAGAAATGAGCTCCATGTTACCTGTACAGCTGTCAGTGATGACAAGAGATCTCTACATTGGTCAAGCAAAGCACGTTCGTTCCCAGCTACATTTTGAAGCTCATGTACCAACAAATCCACCTGCTCAACCTGTTCACATGTATAATAATGATGTTTAATAAAGTTTTGAATATGATGTGAGAGCAGTAGGCAGACTACAATTCAAATCCGTAAGAAATAGAGGTGCAAGAACTGCTAATGATTTCGGAGGGAATCAGGAAATAACTTCATTTTGGTCTCCGTCTCATTTTGGTCCGTCTTATACATGAGATGAGCTAAAGCCAGAAGGGTCTTGCTCTTATGTTTGCTGAACTGACTGAAAGGGAGAGCCAGTATAGATACCTCGTCCAGCAAATTTAATTTCAAAATGATAATTCTCAAAACCCTGTTACAGGTAACCTTACAGCCATTGGAGAATTTTTGAAGGATCAAATGTTTTTCCTACCACTCCATGTGTAAGCTGTGTTTGATCCCATAAAGTCTGACTAAGCTTATCATTTCTTAAAGCAACATAATTTAACTGATAGAAAGCACATTGAGATGACTCCTATACTTGAGGACAAAAGGTCGTTCTGTGCAAAAGTATAGTTTTAACGAAGACCACAGAGCAGTTTCAGTTGGGCAGGAAAGAGTGATGAAAGAGCTTTCAACATTTCAAACTAAATGATCAGACCCCAATTGAAACACTTTATGATGCTCACATTGCCCAACCATGTAAAATAGGAAATAAGGACCATCATAATCTAAGATCTGAAGTTTCCTAGAAAGATGGGACAAGCGTACCATACAAATTAAATTGCCGAAACTGAGATATTAAGAGAGATTGGATTATTTTACTTCTATTTTGTTCTGTTATTGACTAAATCTAAGTTGAACCAGGGATAATTGAGATACTTTTGGGAGAATTTTTACCAAGTTAGTAATGTTTACCTCGTATATTTATAACCTTCAGTTATCATATTATCACACCTACGAACTACTCATTCAGATGCCTACATAAGAATACATGATCAAACCATCTCAGACGATTATTTCCCATTTTATCTTTTATCTGTGCTATTTGCAGGATTTGTTGCATGTTTTAATTCCGAACCTTACTAATCTTGTATGACTGCACATCCATCTTAACATCTGCATTTCAAAAACATTCATCTTCTAAGTATGTTGGTTCTTAGAGGATCAATATTCGCTCACATTTAACATTCAATTGTTCCATTGAACTTGTCTTTCGTCTTAATAAATATCTTTATATCGCAAGAACTCTCGTGCCACTCCCTATGTTTCATCGATTCTATTTTAATTTTGTGGTACATCTTCATTTATATGGCATTCTCTTGGAAGACTAAGTTTAGCTATCTGAATTTCAGTATTTAGACACCAGAATTCCAGCTAATCTTCGGAACCTGAGCTTGAAGTACATATATTCTGTTTTGCTTCTACCTATCCTAAAACTTCTAGTCTCGTAAGTGCTACTGCAAGTTCAAATTTTTTGTTGACTCCCTTGCTAGTTCATCATTTATAAGACAACCCTTGCTAGTCTTTATAGATAAATAAAAATCATCTGCTAGTCTTTATAGATAAATAAAAATCATCTGCTAAATAGGGAAGCTTCATCAACCAATCTTGTATTAGTTAGCCCATCCATAATTATGTTAACAAGTAAAAACTCAAGACACATCCATGGTGTAAATATATGATTACGGAAACTCCTCCAAATCTTCTCCAAGCTGTTCTCACACTAATGACTGATCATTCATGGTGAAAACCTACAACAGGATTGTTTACTCCAAGGGAACTCATATTCCATAATACTATGAGCTTGATAAGATCTTTCCAGTCTTAAAGAAATACTATTTTGCTACATTTGTGTCGTTTTTCATTCCAATCCTCAATAAGTTGTATTTGAGGAAAAATTTTGAATTATCTAAAACTAAAAATTCTCCATAAAAACATTATCAATTATAGAAAAAGATCAAATATTATGGGACAACTGAACAAGGAAAACTGGTTTTATGGAATAGGTCGGGGAGTAAGAGAGGTGCCCATACCATGAGGAAGGAAAATGGAACCACATATTCGCACACGTTGTGAAGGAGATTATAAATTGGGGAGGTAGGTTTGGACCAAACCAACCAGCAAAAGATAATAAAAACATGAGATTAACTTGCCAAAGTCATGGCGTATTCCAATCACAGGTCTAAAGGAATATTAAAGAACTCTAACACAGAGTGGTAAATACATTTTACAAGCCTAAGTGAAGGTTGGTTTGTTTAGATTTGTGCAACTTTTAATTTAATCAATCCTCCCCAGACCCCACTTGTGGGATTATTACACTGAGTGAGTCAATCAACTAGGCCTCAATCCCATACTAGTAGTTGAGGTTGGGTCCTCTATTATGAATCCTCTATAGTTTATTCAAGCTTTGAGGCTCATTTTAGTGTAATATTGATAAATAATTTGTCTTTTAAGGTAAATCAATTATTTAAATTAGAGATTCCACTTATTCTTATACTGTCATTTAAGTTTCTAACTAGGCTAAAAAGATTTTGGGCAAACATCCGAAGAAATGTAAGTATTTATCTTTAATCTGAACTAGTTGGTATCTCCTATAAAGATCCTTTGCTTCCATTCTACTATGCTCTTAGCTAAGTGAAAAGATTTTGAGAGATATAGGTCTTATGAGAGAACTTCCTTATGTATAACAGAACTGTTATAAGTCATATATCTTCCATTTTGGTCGCCATGTTCTCTTTGTGCTGGATTTCCTGACACGTGAATCACAGGTCATAGTGAATCAATCACAAGTATAAGGATATAAATAGTTCTGTATTATGCATTGCTTGCACGTGTATATATATGCTAACAAGAAGAAGAATAAATGTGGTCAAAGGGTCTGACTTTGGCACTTTGCTATAAGGATAGCTCTCTTATCTGCCCTCCCCTCACCCACCGACCCACCCACTCCACAAAAAAGGATGGCTCATTCAGCAACTTATATGGGCTAAATTTGATTGGTGCTTCTTCATCAAACCTCAAACACAAAAATGCTTAATAATTTAGCAATTTGGACATCTTTTAATACAATAGTCAAATTAGCTACTTACACATTTCCCTTTCCTGGCATTTGAAAAAATAAGTGTCCACTAGCCATAATTTTCATTTATTTATTAGACAAGAGAATGAGATCACCTTTGACAGGGAAGAGCAAATGGAGGATGCCATTGCCTGCATCACATCAACGGCTGAAGAGATAGCATCTTTCACATTTTGAACATCTGCCTGTAGATATTACAACCAAAGAACATTATTATCCCCTCAGCCTAAAACTGCAAAATTAACATGAAGAGCACTCAAAACTTCAATAAGAAAATATAAATTCAGTTAGAATGAAAAAGAAAGATATACCACAGCCCCTGCAACAACAGGAAGACGGATAGTGCTTGCTTCCAGAGCACATATAGCTCCTGACATGGAATTGGAGTGATCTCCATCAGTCAGATCCCAATTCTCCAAACTTGGCACCTGCAGTCGTGAAAAAAAAAATGTTCCTTTAGTGAATGGTTTAGTTCACCAACTGGCGTTAGCAACAGATAGACAACCAAATATAGTAAAAATGCTTTTGGACAAAATGGAATAGGAAATATTACGATATCATCAATTTTAATCTTGTTTCTTCTTTGTTCTATTTCTTCAAATACCTTTCACATTCATATGCATATTCCCACATCTAATATCTACATTGCGAACAGTTGCAATTCATGGGTGCGTGGTTATATGAGCAAATTCTATGTACGTCAACGGATTCCTAAAGCTTGGTTGGGAAAAAAAAAAAAAAAAAGAAGAAGCAAGTCTTACTTGTCCTTTGAGGATGGAATACAACTTCACATTTTGTTGCAACAACTGCAGCTGGATTCTTTTGGACATAACTGAATGCCGTAATTTTGAAGTGGCCAACCATGCATTGTACAGGTTCCTCTAGTACAAAATAATTAAATGAGAAGCACCACAATTTCATGCAATTTCTACTCAAATAATAAAGCACTTGAATTTTCAACTAGACTGAAAGAATAGAGCTTATCAAAAGATCAGACAAACTGAAGAACAAAGACCCTAATATAATGCATCCAGATCGAGAAAACAGATAAGTGGGGAAAAAGTACAGATATCCCATCCAATCTCATAAAATATCTATGTGTTTTCTTTCAGAACATATTCAGCAGCTGACAAGCTCTGACAAGAACCAAAATGCTTTTCTGATGAAGACAACAACAACAACAACAACATACCCAATATAATCCCACAAGTGGGGTTTGGGGAGGATAGTGTGGACGCATACCTTACCCTTACCTGGAGAGGTAGAAAGGTTATTTCCGATAGACCTTCAGCTCAAGAAAAGGTGAAAGGAAGAGAAGGGACGAAGAAGAAGAAGAGGAAGAATAAAGAAAGAAGAGGGACACAAAAGACGATAAGGAAAAAGTGGAGAAAAAGAGAAGCCGAAAAAGAAAAAGTAGCATCAAATAGTAACAATCAGGAAAATCCGATACACGAAGCGAACAAAACAACAGGCAAATACTAGAGATCAAAGAATACAAAAATACAAGAATGCTACTAATACTAGTAGTAAAGAACGGGGAACTGTCAACTACCTACTAGGCTTCTACCCTAGTCCTCGACCTCCACATCCTTCTATCGCGGGTCATGTCCTCAGTGAGCTGAGTAGCGCCATGTCCTGCCTAATCACCTCTCCCCAATACTTCTTTGGCCTACCTCTACCTCTTCTCAGACCCGCCATGACCAACCTCTCACACCTCCTAACAGGAGCATCTATACTCCTGCTCTTCACGTGCCCGAACTATCTCAGCCTCAACTCCCGCATCTCTTAAAATTCAACAGAGCTCCCATCTTTCTACTAGCAGTGCACCTTAAGTTCACGGGCTTGATTCTATGGAGCTTGTGCACATCCTTCCTCTAAACAAAAATTTAGTTGAAGTCACTCTCCAAAATGGACCGGTAGAATCCAAATCTCTACCCTTAGAAAAAAGAATAAAACATAAGAACAAAACAAATGCATGAAACTGAGAAGAAATGATCTTGCTCAAGACACTTCTCATGCTTCTCCTGCATAAAGCGGCCACAATTCACCACTCCGGATTGAAGGATTTCTCAATCAACATGATGACTTAAACAGCGCAGTGAACCCTCCAAAGTTTTACTATATTTCTTTTTCTTCACGCAATTAAGCATGCACTAAGGTTCGAATGCGCTATATGCCTGTGCATTAAACTTCCTGTTTGTTTCTGTCAAAATCATAAAATGAGTTCCTAACATACAATCCTCGCCCATATTCTCATTAACTTCCAGATGTCTGAAGAAACTAATCCTTTTATCTATCACAAACTTTTACACCTCTATAAGTAGCAGTCTCTGACAACTTGGTTTAACATTAATGTCGTTCAGCAAATATGGATGCCTTCGAGACCTTCAAGCTACACATTCTACGTTTGGTACCATGAAAATGAGGGTCATGGTAAAGGAGAGAAACTCATTGGTATACCTCAAATTGTTTGTTAGGTATAAAGGGAAACAGAGTGAAACACAGCAAGAGTTGCATACCCCTCAACATTACTTCCAAACAGACCAAGAAAAACAACCATTACTCTTTTTAACTTCATTCCTCCAATCCTCACTCTTCCAACCAGTCAAGCACAGTACACCATTCAGAGAACCATAGTCAGAGTTTATTTGTTTGGAGTTTTAAGAATTTATACCTTTTCCACATTTATACTCGATACAAAGATTGGCAACCAATAGTAAAATCCAAGATGATGCTGCATATTCAGTATCTTTGTGAACTATTGAATAAAAAATTGTACAATAGAGCCGTTTTTAACCAACATCTAGAGAACCAGTGGCATACTAGAAAACCATTACCTCTGATGTCTCTGTCTGTGCCATTAGAGCAGCTTCGGCTCTAGCATTGGCAAATCGCCATTGAATTTGCCGATTATTCAGTAGCCTCAGTTCATGTGCATCAATGATACGATTCTCCCCAGCTTTTCCTCTTCTCGCATCGGCAGAAAAACTCAAACTTGAAGGCATTATGCAAGCATTATTAGGTATTGTATCCATAACACCATTTCTTATTCTTGTAGGACTTGGCATACCCCTTGATAGAGAATTTGTTGATGGTGTAGCCATTACACCATTTCTTATTCCTGTAGGACTTTGCGTACTACTTGATAGAGAATTTGTGGATGGAGTATCCCTAACACCATTTCTTGATCTTGTCGGACTTTGCATACCCCTTGATAGAGAATTTGAGGATAGTGCCACTGCCTTACCTGGTGAAGCTCGCCTTGCCCCTACTCGAAGAGGAGATACAAAACCTCTAGAAGCTGGAGTACCCGTAACACCATTTCTTGTTCTTGTCGGACTTTGCATACCCCTTGATAGAGAATTTGAGGATAGCTCCACCGCAGTACCTGGTGAAGCTGGTCTTCCCCCTCCTCGAAGAGGAGATACAAAACCTCTAGAAGCTGGCATACCCCAAGGTGAGGGTGTGGGACTATCAATCAAATTTCTCCTATTAAACATTTGTTTCGAAGGAACCGCTGTTTTCAATCCACTATTTTTGGACACTGGTGAACCAGGTTCTGCCCCGCATCGGATCCTGCTACTAGTCTCTTGCCAAAACCTTGCTGGCACAACTATACCACGGGAACTGCCTCGCCCTTGAGCGACATTACCACCTTCATAGACCCCTGAAGTACTCCCTGATGAAACACTTTCACTATCTGAATTCACATTGAGCTTAACAACATTACCATATTGTGGTTTCAATTTAGCTTCAATTTTAACTCCATGATTGTCATCAATCACTGATTTTGATAATGACCTAAGTACACTTCTGGATCCAAATTTCCGTATTTCGTTGCCACAATCCAAGCTTCGAGTCAGAAAACTTGAATTCACCGGTTTTAATCTCCCCGGCCACCGTTGTTGATCACTCAAAAATGAGTTCTCTGCCCGATCCTTCGCCAGCGTAACTAACTCCGGTCCAGCTTTCCTCCGCTCCGGCGTACCTCTCCTCGCACTACTCAAATTGTACCTAGTAGGAGCAGGTTTTTTCTTACTAACAGGAAATGAAACCGACTCACCTTGAAACGAAATCGATAAACTCCTTGTGGAGGTCAATAACATCTTTGCCGCAGTAGACATTTCCCTTGTCACAGGCGTCGTTGGCCGTCTCCGGTCCATGGACTGCGACCGCTTAATCAAACCGGAATTCTGAACCGGCGTTGCAACGGTACGAGTTACCATCGGTGATTGACTCCGCCGTGATGCGATCGACTCCGACGATGATGAATAACTACTTGTGTTCGAAGATGACGTTGTTGAGATAGAAGATGAAGATGATGTCGATAGGTACCGAGATGTAACCTCTCTCGATTTCGGTCTTCTTTGAGGCGCATTTTCAGCTTCAGAACGAAGCAATGGCGGCCTTTTCGGATTCTGACAACTCATTGACACTGCAGTCACCATTCTAGAATCTTCACATCTCCGTCTCCAAAATTTGACACAAAAGAAACCCTAATTCTTCAAACTCAAGCTGAATTTATTGACTACAACTAGAAATATGCAAATGTGCAGAAATGAAATTATAGTGAGATTGAGTGCATGTGTATATGAGTAGATAAAGAAAGACTCGAACAGGGAGTTTTAGAGAGAGAAAATGATCGGAAATATGACCGTTACGAACGGCCGGCGACAAACTAGGCGGGGAAAGGAGAGAGAAGGAATGGGGGCCGACGGCGAGATTTTGGAGTATAACTGTCGCACTACTGTGTGCTGTGCGTGTGAGAAGAAAAAAGAGAATACGCATTAAGAAGTTGTACAGTTACGCCTCCTGGTTGTACCTTTGATACGGAATTTGAAGGAATGTCTTGGAGCAAGAGTCTGACATGGACCTCACTGATTACGCGCGAGATTAAGGGATAGGAAATCACGCGCTAGGCTTTGGCAAGTGGAACGGGTAAATTGAGGAAACGAGCACTTTAGGGCGGGGTTTTGTGGGCACGTTGATAGAAGTGAGTGGGCAATCCCGCAATGTGTAGGTCCCACCATTGCTCGATCTTAAAGAAAGTGGTGTAGGGCCAGAAAGTCCTTTTTTTGTTGTTGAATCGTCGGAGAAACGGTATGGTGATACAATTGATTTTGATAGTTTAATCACAGATTAAGAGAATTAAGTAAATGATTTTTTTATGTCCTTTCGGGAACATCCGATATTAAAAAAAAAAAATAATAATTTTTTGTTAATATAAGAAAATATATTGCGTGCGTGCCAAAGCTGTATCATAAAAGAACATTTCTTACCGAACACAAGGAATTTTAAGATCATACCCAGACTATAAGGGTGTTTGGCTAAGCTTATAAGTTGGTCAAACTAGCTATAAACACTTTTTGGTTTATTTATGCGTTTGGTAAAATTAAAAGCGGTTATAAGCCAAATGCTTATAAGTCAAAAATAAGCCAAAAAGCTCACCCTCATCTTATGAATTTTTAGCTTATAAGCACTTTAAGTTTGACCAAATTTTTTACTATTTTATCCTTAAAATATTTCTTTTTAGAACAAAACTCCTACATTGATACTCACTGCCTCAAGTATTCAACCTAACCCTCCTCCTCTTCTGATTGACTATTTAGGATAAGCAAATTTTCTATTGCATTGCATATTTATATCTATTTGATTGTGTATTAATCTTTGAACTATATGTAATAAATGAGGACATATCAAATTTTTTGTGTATTGCTTTCTAAGTGTTGTGGTGATGAAAACAATATTTATTTCTCTTCAAACATTTTGTCCTATTTAGGTTTATTTTGTACCGAGAAACTTTTAGCAATTTATTAATTATTATAACTTATGATTATATGCTTATCATAAAATAATAATATTTATCATAAAAATTATCTTATCTAAGCATAGTTGTATTTAAAATAAAATGACAAATAAAATATTTTGTATTTGATTCGATCTAGAATCTTAAATTTTGAAGAAATTACACCCTTATAAGTGTAAACAGTTCTAAGGTTATTTAAGTCATTTTAACAAAAAAAGAGCTTTTCAGCACTTTTTTATCTAATACTGCAGCAACTTATTATCAATTTCAGAACTTGTACCCAAATACGTAACTGCTTATTTATTAAATCAGTTTCAACACCTAATGCTTATCGGCTACTTCAAATCAGTTAATCCAAACGGGCTCTATGTAAGTTTTGTCACAACTCAAAAATATGTCTGTTTACTTGTAAAATAGTTGAATTTGTTATATCGTTTATACACAAATGAATTGATTTGATCCAAAAATGATAAATAAACAAGATTAAAAGTAAGACTTAGCAATTAAGATTGAAGAAAAATGACAAACCTGGCTACGAGAACAGCGCCTCCGCAGACAGAAATAAAAGAGCAAATAAAGTTGTTTTAATTGAGAGTGAAAGTAGAATACATCATAAGTTTTGCTAAGAATTTCATGTCTGACAATGGCCTGTTATTTATAGTTACTTAGGAAAACAAGATCCTAGGTTCAAGCCCCACTTAAATGACAATAAAGGAGTCATTGATGAATATGTAACGGCAGACCATGAATGCAAATATTCTCTACAACGGCAACCCATTTAATGATAGAGAATATTCTTTATTGAATGTTATCCGATGGCAAACATTCAAACTGCTCCCGTTGATCAGGCTCTCTTCGGAGTTTATCCGATACCAACTGCAACTGTTGTTCCTGGTACTGGTAGCTACTTGACTCGCCTTTTACCTGTCTTCGGTTCCACGTGGCATGCTAGCACTCGACCAATTATTACGGACCAATGTTACCCTATACAGATAGTCCCCCTGCTTTCTAGTGACATATCTTTGTGTCACTGAGAAGTTGGTGAAGATTCATTTCTTGGCGGGAAATTTCCTGAACAGTCTCTAACGGTTGAAAGGATGCACGTCTTCTCGCATTTAATACCCCGAACACGTGTTTCCCCACGATTCAGCAATATTTTTGCCGGTTCTTGAGGTAGTCATGATCACGATTTTTGCCGTCTATACCTTTACTTATACTTATCATTTTACCTCTTTCACTTCACAAATCTTCATAAGTTCAACATCTTTTCTCCACTTAACCTCTTCCTTCTTAGAAAACTTCCATCTTTCTGACTTTCTCTAAAAAACTTTACTACATTTTTACTACCACGACTTCTTCTACTGAATCCTTTAGAAACTCTGGTCTTCTCTTTGGTGGAGGCCCGAATAGAAACAAAGACAAAGAGGTCGACGTTGATTCCGAGCCTCCCACGATAAGCACCATCATATCCAAACACCTGAGCACTGTCAATGAGTTCTAAGAGAAGTTTTCATCCGCGTCCCTACAGACTTGGGCCGTTAGCAGGTACATTTCCTCTATTTTCCCTTCTAGTACTCCTACTGTGAAGTTGGACTGCAACTGTCCAAATCCTAACATCTTTGCTCCGGATATGATAGAGCGGGGTAACTTCACAAAGAAAGGTTTTACATATGTCTATACGTATCCTTTTACTTTAGGTCCGTTTGTCTTGCGGACGAGTGAAGGGCTTGACCCCATGATTTTGGAGTTCTGCCACCGGTACCAGGTCTGCTTGGCACAAGTAGGCCCATCTCTATGGCGAACGGTTGCTTTCCTACGCTAGTTGTGCACGGAGACTGCGAAAATCCCAACCCTGGCACACATGATGAATCTCTACTCCCAAAAAGTCTTCTGTGGGGGAGTAATAAATTTCATCAAACAAGGTCACCATGCCCTTTTCACCAGCGTGGATGACGACAGTGACTGTGGATGGATGGAGAGATTTGTCATCATTGCTTCTAGGGATATTATCCCGGCCATAGCTCCATCTCTTTGTGAATCATGGAACCGTTCTCATAAGTTTGTAATTTATTCAGCTCTTTGTCACGTCCTTAGTAGTTAACTAAGTACACATGTGACACTTGACAACTCGCTCACGATCTTGCACAACTTGCTCATGTTCTTGCTATGCCAAGCCAGCCTTACTATACTCAAGATCGCTAAATGAGTGTTAGAAAGAACACAAAAGACTTGCTAAAGGAAGCTTTGTATTAGAGAGAACTTGAATTGTTTGTTTGGTGAATTACAAATGGATGATCCCCTTTATATACTAGGCTCCTAGGGGCTAGAGTATAAATATTAATTGTTACACAAGTCCTTAATATTTACAAGATAAGGGCTTTCTCTAGAATTCTTTACAAGCCTAGAAGATTCCAAGGACTTTCCTAGCAAATCCATAGGGATCTAGGGTCTTCCAAAGGAAATGTCCATACTTCTCTAGAATCTTCTCACAAATACTAGCCTTCCTCCTATGTAAGCTTTCACATGGCATTAATATATGCCAAATGGTGCCTATGTGGAATGATGACATGGCGGGTTATTACACTCATCCCCACCTAATATTGCAACTACCACAGCGCAATGTTGCTGCATAACTCTCGGATCTTATCTTTGAATTGCCATAAGTCTTCATATTGTTCCCACGTGGCCTCCTTTGGTGATTGCCCCTTTCTAATGGATGAGGAACATTGCGGTAGCTTTCTGTCCTTGTTCTCGCCTGGCCCGATTATCCATGATAGCCTCAATCTCACAATCATGCTAGGCGGTGATAGTAATAGGCGCTCGACCTAATTGGCCCCTACTCGGATCATCCTATATAGCTTAAGCATGCTGGCATGGAAGACAGGGTAGATCTTAAGATACGATGGCATATCAAGCTTCTATGAGATCTTGCCTACCTTGGTGACAATCTTAAATAGCCCCTCATACTTTCAAATCAGATTCGGATGCATGCCCCGTAGTGCCTTGAACTGTCTTGGGTTAAACTTTACCATGGCCATGTCTCCAACTTTATAGTCCGTGGGACGCCGCTTACGGTTCGCAAACTTCTTGAGCTTCTTAGCTTCCTTATCCAAGTAGGACTTAGCAGTGTCAAGCTTCTCCTCCCATCCTTTGGACATATGATAAGCCCCAAAATCTTTCCCTCGAACGCGGCCGGTAATGAATGTGGAATCTGTGGCCGTTGGCCTGTGGCTAGCTCAAATGGTGTCCGACCCGTAGACTCACTCTGCTGCAAGTTGTAAGAAAAATTGGGCGATGTCAAGGAGCCATGCCCAATATTTCTGATGCGCGCTTACATAATGCCTCAAGTAGCATTCTAGTAAGACATTGACTCGTTCTGTTTGTCCATCCATCTGTGGGTGGAAACTAGTGGAAAAAGCAGTTTTGTGCCAAGAATGTCGCGCAGCTCCCTCAAAAAATCTCCAATGAAATGGGGTCTCGATCATTGATGATATGCCTTAGTAATCCTCAATACTTTACTACGTTCATAAAGAATAGCTTGGAGGCTTCCTTGGTTGTGCAACCTGGTGAGGCGGGCATGAAGGTGGCATATTTAGAAAATATATCCATGACCACCATAATAGTACCATAACAATAGATCTTTGGTAGACAAGTGATAAAGTCCATAGTGACGCTCTCCTATGGACGCTCTGCGACTGGCAGCGGTTCCAAAAGTCCTCTAGGACATTGTTGCTCAACCTTGTCCTACTGGCAGACAAGACAAGTTTGCACATAACATTCTATGTCATCTCGCATGCGCGGCCAATAGTAGACTGACTCAACCAAGGCCTGGTGCGATGTTGCCCAGGATGACCAGCCCACACTATGTCATGACTCTCCATTATGATCCTCCGTCTAATGTCTCAAAATTTAGGCACGTAGGCCCGTCGACCCGTGGTAAGCAATAGGCCGTCTTCTACCCAAAAATGTCTCATCTTGCCGTGGT